ACGTGGGTGGGAGGAGACCTAGTCTGACTTTTACGCGGGGAACGCAGCCTTTGGGGATCGGGGTTACCATGCTCGTCACTTCATGCACGGGGGGTCGCTTTGGGCCCGGTTTGGGGGGCGGGGTAAGACGCGTTTTCGACCGTACAAAAAAATCTCATTGCAGAGGCTCAAGACTCCCAACACACACCCCTCCTCGACTGCATTATTACTTCGAACGGGTAGTCTTTCGGCGGCTGTGAGTAAATTTCGAATAAACAAGCGCATGCACCGCTGATGACACTATCGAACAAACGACGGAGGCGCCAAGACCTTCGGAACATACGAGAATGCCCCTGGAGAGGTCAGGTTGGAACTGATTCTCCCGCTACGCTGCCGTCGAGTCAACATCCCGGTTCTCCGGCGCATTATTGCCATCTTGACTGCTTTTAGCTGCCCGAGAATCTAGATTTTCTTAGATCGTTTCGGCATGTGTTCCGTTTGTCCGGTAGCAACTTTCGTGTGTTTGGACAACGATAAAAAATTACGGATGCTCTCGATTGCATTTTTGCAGAGGCCGTGTGTGGGGGCGCTCATGTTTTGCATGGGTTAGGGGCTAGACCATTGACCACCGGAGAGGGGGGGAGGGGAGGGGCGGCTGCTAAATGTACAACCGAGAGCGGCTTTGACACCCGGGGCTCCGCCACGGAAAACGGAAAAAAAGAAAAAAACACGACCCGTGGTAGAGCATACATAAGGATGTGATGACTTTCCAGGGTTGACGGCGCCAGGTGACCGCGGCATCACCCACCCGAAGGCCACGACTTCCCTTCGGCGACACAAGCCCATCCGAAGCACCACCCAACCCTCCAACCGTGGCGGCCCAAGTCCGGGGTTCGGCCAGACAAGCGGCCATACTTACCACCCGCCCTCCAATTACCATGACTTATTACTTCTCTCACCTGTAGGACACGGTGCACATCACGGCCAAGGGCACCCGCCCCATCTCCTTCGCCACCCCCTGCCGCACCACCATCGCTGGCGGCGACACCTGAGCCCCCTCCCCTGAGCCCCCACTGGGCACTTTCCGGCCGAACGACTCCGCCCCTGCCGGCATCGGCACTCGCGGCCAGGTCGGCCCACGACAGCCCGCCCCCCCCGGCGGCGGATGAAGACAGGGCGGCGGCGGGATCCGACAGCTCGGCGAGAGCCGCGGGCGCGGCCCACGACAGGGCCGCCCCAGCGGCGGCCGCCAACGCGGCCAGCACGCCGGCCGCGACGCCGGCGGCGGCAGCAGCAAGGCCTTTCCCGCCCGCTTCCTCCGCCTCCGCCTCCGCCTCCGCCTCCTGCTGCTGCTGTTGCTGTTGCTGCTGCTGCTGCTGCCGATGTTGCTGCCGTTGCTGCCCGCGGAACTCTTCTTCCCTGCCCGTTCCCTCGCCCCACGCCCGGTTGGGTGGTCTGTTCGCTGCTGCCGTTTCTCCCCGCCATGGTTCTACCCTCGCCGCTTCATCTCGGTCCGATCTCGCCCCATCCTCCTCCTCCTCCTCCTCCCCTGCCCACGGGGCGTGCTTTCTTCGCCGCGGTTCCTCCCCGTCCTGCGGCCCCAAAAATGCCTGCTTTGCGAACAGCTCCTCCTGTACGTCCCCCCCCTTCCCCCACTCTCGTGGGCGATGCCCGTCGGAGGGTCCCCCTCTCCATGGCGGGAAAGAAGCATCCTCTCGCGCTCGGACAGAGGTGGTGCCGGTGCCGGTGACTATTGATGCAGAGCACAGGGCCAGAATACCGGCCGCTATTGCGCGAATGGTCACCCCCTCTCGGCATCGCCACCGGGCCCCCATGTTGCGGTAGCTTTTTGCGCCGGAAGCTGATGGTAGCGGGGTAGGGGGGGGTGGGGCGGAGACACTGGTCAAGAGTTTTGCACGTAAAAGGCTAGGTTTTCCTGCGCAAGGGGATAGTACAGGTAACTGTCGTAGCCTGCTGTGCGAGTGGATGATATTCACACCGACTAGCATACAACAAACGAGCTCTACGGTGCGTCTTCTCTCGAACAAGGGATTGTCTTGAGTATAAAATGCACTCCCCATGGAGTATCACGCGCGGTGTAGCTGCCAGACCAACAAACGAGAAATGACGGCGGAATTCCGCCAACCTATACTATGGCACGATTCCGCACATCAGGCAAAATAAATGCACGAGAAAACACTTCATGACAATCGCACAACAAAAAACACAATCTTCAAAAGTAATGTTCGCTGCAGAAAATATGCCTTTGACGTAAATAAATAGCGTACCCAACGACCGGAGGTACTGAATCGCACCGAGGTGCATTGCACCAGTAAGGTCGCTGGTTCTTTTTTTCAATATCGCACGCCCCGGAGTTATCGCACTGGGGTTCGAAGTGAATTATTCCGTCTTTGCGCGCCGGCCTCTGAGTGATTTGTGAAACAGGCTGGAGGCGTGAATGGGGGGAAGATTTGTTTTATTATTTGTTCGCTGGGGACCGAGTCCTCTGTTGGATTCATCATCTCCTTTTTTGACCATTAGAAAATGGTGTGGAACACGATTCCACGTGGTGCCATTACCAGTTGCCTCACGCTAATTCTGAAAGAGGGATTCCGTTCACACCATGCGCATATCGTAATACAGGACGTCAATACATCGAATCTCGAGGTCAACTCTGTATCATAACGTGTTGAGATCAGATATCGACGGACTTTCACGGGCCAATTTCTCCACAGCAGAAAGAGTGGCTGTGCCAAAAACGGTGGCGTCAAGGCCGCCTCGTCGAGAGCTCCCGAAAAACTGTAATTTCGATTGTGGCATCCTCTTCGTCGTTGAGAAATCGAGCTTTCGCCCAGGGGGTTGTGGTATCTTGAGCCACCGAGCTACCTGTGCGGCAAGCATCGGGGTATTTATTTGTCAGTAAATTTCAGTCGAAAACGCGCTGCCGTACATGGTATTTGCCAACCAAGCGACCAAACTCCACAGCAAGCAGAAGAAAACAACAACAAAGTTGTTCAGCGATAGATAGCGCACGAGAACAACAGGCGTTCAGCATCGCCAACGGCCTTCAAAACTGAGAGTGACCGTGTTCGGGGAAGCGCATGTTCATAGTACAGAAAGCTCTGTAGGCTCTGCTGCTTGGACAGAAACGCCCCAACATTAAAAAATAACACACGGAGAGGACATCAACCGGTGTTCCCCTGGTTCCCGAAAGCAACCACAGGTCTAGCATGAAAGTTTATCGCTTGTGTTATCTAAAAATCCATTCTTGGGCGGGGGAGTGATGACCAAGCGAAGGTGGTGTGGAGGTGTGCGCTTCCCACAACTCAACCAACCACGTGAGGCTTCCCAGATTCACATGGCTTCCAAGCTTCGTTATTTTTCATCGGCCGTCTGCACATTCGTCGAAACACAACCCCCTCCCGGTGCCTCGTAAGTGCTTGACCTCTGCTCCGTTATGATCAAGACTTAGGACATCACCGGTGAGAGGGTGGATGTGAGGTGGAGAACGGCTGTACATCTGTACATACGTCAACAGGGTGCATCACCGGTTCACCCGCTAGGCCTGAAAACGGCCAAAGTAATGATTCTACATTTTGATATAATGCTGCAGAGACCATCGGCATGCAAACAAAACCCCGGAGCAGACAAGGGCATTCGGCGAACGACACACAAACGCCATGGTGTTGTAACGCCAGAGTCTCTGCTTTTCTCTATCACAAAACTATATTAACCCTCTCGCTTTTGCTATCGCACGATCGGTCTCACGCTATCCCTTTGGGAGAGCGGCTGAACAAGAATCATAACAGCTCGCTTCCCGCCAAGGTTGTCTTCTCTTGTGTGCCCTTAGGGGCGTTTGCGCTGATGGACGGCCCTACAGACGACAGCAGCATCGTTCCGGCCGTGTGTATGTATGTACGTGTAGGTGTGGTTCTGCCGACACACTTCTTGTTTACTCTCTCTCGCGCTTTAAGCCAACCGCGCCGAACGGCCCGCGCATGGGGCGCGAGACTGTCGGGAAACAAGCCGGCAAACTGAGGTTGCGCTGCTGTAAAAAATAACAATCGTCTCTCTCACCTCTCTTTCGCCCTGGTGATTCCTTGTTTCGGGGAAATGGGCCAGGGCCGCGCGGAAGAAGTGACGATGTGCCCTTCCCTCCTTCCCCCTTCTTTGCCTGCTTTTCCCCTTCCCTCCTTCTTGCCTGTCCCGTGGATTCTTCGAATTTCGAGAAGATGGGCAAAGCTAAAGCTTTCGAGTCCATGCGGGGCTCAACGGATGCAACGACGTCTAGAAACTTGCCACCCCTCACTCACGACGGCCGCGGAGCACCGCGGCGGATCCGCCAGCATTCATTGTCCCTACCAATGGTTTCTGAGCCCCCTGCCCCACATTGGACCCAGTCCAGGAGGATCCAACTCAGAATGAATGAGATGCAGAGCCAGCAGCAGTAATAAGCCTGCCAAAATGTTGAGCGTTCACAAGAGTAGATGCACAACACTGTTATGGTAGTATTGTGCAGCTCGTTTGTGCCGCTCCAGAGAAAGAGGTGTCCAATGTTGTTTTGTTGTTTTTCTCCCATCATTGGACTCTGTCGTCTGCCCCTCTGGCCCCTATCCTCCACTTCTACTAGCTAGATGACCCAACCGGGGTCACATAGGAGGGGGGGGTTGGACCCCCTCCTGCGGTCATGCCTGAGGTATTTTTATCGCGAGAAGGGTACAGCAATCCCTTCCCTCGCGACTTACGAAGTCGATTATGGTTTACTAACAAACGAGCTACAGCGCGTCGCTTTCATCCTAGACCGTGTGTCCTGCCGTGGTTGATGCCGTTTCGAGGCGCTGGCGGTTATTTTCCGTCAAAAAGACGACTAGTCTAGCCAACCGACTGTGTTCAAAGAAGGTCGTGCGATGTCGTGACATATGTGCAAAATATGCATACATCGGCTTTCAAAATATTGCAATACTGGGCGGCAATTGTTTGTAGGCCCGCGTCCTATGTTGTTGTAGAACGGGTCTGTCGAAATGACCTTTCTCGTCGTGTGCTTGGCACGTCGCGGTGTCATCGAAGCAGGCTTCTTTTTGTCGGCACTGCTATGTCCACTGGCGGCCGCAGCCGGAACCTTCCGATCAAATGTGAATGCGTCGAGCTCCCCTCGGATCTACAACGCTAGCGAGATCAACGAGGATTGGCTGGGATACTCATGCGCCTCCATAGGCGGTAAGGGAACGTAAAGGCGGAGTCAAGTGTGCATCGTAACACCAACGTACAGCAGTACTACGGCTGGGTGGTTGAATTTCTTGTCAACAGCTACAGGTGGAAAGCACTGCATATGCAGTGGCGTAGCATTTTGCCGGGGGTAAGGCTCTTACTTAACTGCGCTGTTTGCTGTGTGCTCCTTCCCTGCTGTCCGAACGAACCCTCCACACAGAATCTTGTTGTGTGTTCTGAAATAGATGACGTCTACAGTCGACAGTTGACACCTTCCATCCAACAAACGCCAAAAGAACAGCGTACATTGATCCGTTTCGTGCAGGTGAACACTCCCACGGCACACGCTTAGCCCAGTAGGAAGGTCTGCTTCGCGCGTGGTCGCAAGCACCCCCCGCGATTAATAGCAAATGTTCAGATTCTGGCGATAAGAAAGAGAAATAGTCTAGACTAAGAAACACACCTCAACGGTGTGTCCTACACTACACTACTCCGTATAGACTATAGAACTTGAGCCTCGACCATAGAATGACGTGGGTGTTTACTGTACTACTGTACGCAGACGCACCCGTGCTTCACATTCACTGGACAGGGTTTTGTTGTGCGAGTTGTTCAATAGATCGCCGGCGGGTGATTAGTCGCACACTGCTGCGGCATTCTTCCCGGCACAGAGCTGCCCAATCATTCCTCGCTATGTCGATTCTGAATGCGTCAGAGAATGCCCACGTCTCAAAGTCATGGGCAAATCGTAGGCATGCTGTGACGTTCTCCAACATGACGCATTCCTACAGATTTCAACGGCGACGGCGTGGGAGACATTGTTATTGGAGCGCCAGGCGCCAGCGATGGGGTAGGTCGGGCGTATGTAGTGTACGGGAATTCTTCGGGAATCGACGAGGATTTTGACGTATCAGCTCTGGAAGATCGCGACAGCGCCGGTCTCGTCATGACAGGCAGGCAGGGAGGAACGTTTTCGCACAGCATTGGGTACGCCGTGGCTGCAGCAGGGTACGCAAGGGACACGCGGGAAGATCTCAGAACGAACGCCGAACGGTCGTATGAGGCAACACACAAACGTATTGTTGGACGAAACCTTACGGTTCAACGAGACACGCACGTCTTCCTTCTTATGCTCCCCACACAGGTGGACACTCTTCACGCCACTTGTTTGGGTGCCGCACAATCATGATCAAGCGTATGACCAAACGTGGAAATGTAGACATGCCTGCTAATGGTATGGCAACCTCGGCCTGATGATACCCTATGTGCCGCAACAAGTCGCTCCTTCTGATTTGCCATATCCTCGACAGAGACGTCAACGGAGATTCCCTGATGGATGTCATGGTGGGCGCCTACGGAAGCTCTCACTTGAGCGAAGGCGCGGCCCACGTCGTGTATGGCACTAATACATCCGCGGCGTATGACTCTTCTTTCCTCGATCTCGGCGCCGGGGATGGTGGAGGGCTCGACGGGGTGGACGGCTTCACTCTCTCGGGGATGTCGATAGAAATAGAGCTCTACGCGAAGCTGGTAAGATGCACCTCTGATGCGGGTCGCTGGTCCTCAGTCGGCCGTGTACTCGAGAGGCATTATCTGTACGGCGGTGACATGGAGACCGGATATTCTTGATTAAAAAGACGATGAAATGTTCCTCTAACGCATAAACTGTCACTTTCTTCAACGGCTCTTGCGGTGCCATGCTCTCGTTCCGCCCCCCGGCTCACAGCGTATGTCGTACCAACTCTGTGACATGCTTGAGAGCCAAGATTTAAAACAGCACACACGCCATGCTGTCGGGGTCGTCGGCCAAAGCCGGGCCCGGGGTTCCGTACTACCTTATTGAGAGCGCCCCGTGGGAAGCGAAAATCTCTCTGCGTGAAAAGAACACCCCGCGGCGTTGTCAAAGGTAGGGGGGGACAGAACAAAACCAACCCCCCCCCGCCTGATAACCCATGGCCATTCTGATCACCGATGGTTTCCCTTGGGGAAAGAGGGGCATTGGCATGGCGGGGGGCGTTCTCAAACGAAACGATAGGCCAATCATATCCCGACACGAACAACCCACACGACACCGTATTTGCCGTGATTTCCGCACCCACCCACCCACCCTCTCCGACAACACAGCTCTCCGACACGCTTGACAGGCAACTGTCGTTGCAGTACACCGGGAACCCGCTGTCTTCGGCGGGAGACGTCAACGGGGACGGCTATGGCGACATTCTTGTCGGTAGCCCGACGGCCGGAGCGGTGTCTCAGGGGCACACCTACCTGGTGTTTGGTGGTGCCGGTCTGCCGGGTAGAGTGAACCTGACGGAATCGGACGACGTGGCCGGAGGGAACGAGGGCGTGGTGGTGTTTAAGGGGGCTTTGACAGGCGAGTTTGTGATCATCTGCGGGTTTCATGATCTTTGCTCGATTGGTTCTTCCGAGAAAGAGACCTTTGAGATAGTAGCTGTGCAACGTCTTGCCGTTTGAAGCCGTGGAATTTCGCCAACTTCTCAGAAATGGTCGACTTCCATGTCATGGTAGAATACATAGAGTTTTTACGGCACGGACACAACCTAACCTCGACTACCAACCGATAGATTTGAGGCGCGTGGAAATACAACGAGTTTTAAGTCTGAACTAAAGCGTCGCAGCCCCACATTGTGTGGCGTCATATGAACGCCTCTCTTCCACTTAGTTTGTCGCACAGGTAGGATCCTCATCCAAGAAGACGGAGACAAACGTAGAGGGATGTTGCTGTTGGGATTATGGTTCTCGTCTCATACGCCTAGCCGTTGTCAGAGGTACAAGTATTCCTCTTGGTGTCCATGCGAACGAAGTCTTTCCATTCCCCCGCCCCCCCTTCTCTCCCCCCCCCGGTGTTTGCCATCGGGGTTGGGTTTTCGTCGCTTGGCAAAGACGTTGTAAACTAAGCCGCCCCCCCCGGTGTTTTACCATCGGGGTTGGGTTTTCGTCGCTTGGCA